TAGAGCTGGCACAACTGGCAGTCAGGATGAATGGTGTGATCAGGTACAATTAACTGTTGGGTGCTGAAAAATAAGTACATGTGAAAAGTACAGGGTATCTACTCTGGTAAAAAACACCTTTCTGTTCTCTTTCTGATTTGAAAAGGTTGAGCATCTCTCTGAAAGTAGAGATTTACACCGGAAAGCATGTTTTTCAGTACTCAACCAAGTTGGATTTGAATGTCTGTCTAAAATTAGGATTAGGCTCGAAAAGACCTAGACTAAAGGTATCCTATGTGTAGCTATTCAGTTCCAGTGGAAGTATCTCTGATGGATGACTTCTTTTGGTGATAGGAAAATGCCAGAGAGAGAAATGGGTTAATCTAAAGAAAGCACAATGAAATAATCCATGAAAACACTCCAGCAACAGCAGTGTCTGTCCCTTGCAAAGCATAGTTAAATCTATTATCAACATCTCTAAGGAAGATGCATAATTGAAGACTTAAAAATGAAATCTGAAACATGGGAACCAAAATAAAAAATCTTGAACTGTGATTGTTTCATTATTTTAATACTTCAATTTAAATACAGATACTGAAAATCAATAAGGAAAATGCATTATTGCAACTTTCTGGGCAAAATTCAGATGGACTGTTTTAGAGAGAATCCTGCTAGGTGGGTCTCACATCTCACATCCACCAAAATACTGAGAGCTATGTAAAAGTAATCAAAATGTAAAGATATTGTTGCAAACTGTATGGGCTGTTTCTTGATATACCCTGAGGCAGGAAGCTTCACCGAGGTATTTTGTCAAGATGCAGGGAATCATTTGGCATTGGGAGGTAGGAATGGGAAGGGGAGATGGAACAATATTTTATGTTTGCTTGGGAAAACCCCTGTACATTTAGTAAGAAAATCTCTTAGAAAACAGTAAACTTCTGATTTACATTTTAGTAACAAATATTGTATAGGTAGGTAAAGGGCATAATATGGGGCCTTGGAAAACTTGTTTTTAATTCTCAGGGCTTCTTTTCAGACTAAAAGGAGTACCCTTGTTCATAAAGTTCAGCATGTGCCTAAGCCTTTGGCTACACTAAAGCCTTTATCAAGATCGTGCATATTTCATACACCTAGTACAAGGTAAAAAACAGCTATCAAAAGTGCTTTCAGTTTTTCAGGTATTGTAATTGCTTACTGACTAGCTTAGTGTGATTAAAATGTAGGAGCTGAATGTAGAGATATCACCACAAGCAGCCAACTTGGCAATTTTCTCTGTGATGCCTAAGAGCACTGTCATTAAAGACCTCTTACAATGAAGGCCAGAGAGTTTGTCTGAAGATAGCTCAGTCCTGGTTGCATCCAAGTGCTTTGCTGTGGCTGCAGAACTAACATGGGGAGTTTTGTGTCTGCCTTAATTGAGCTGAAAGCTTCAGAAAAACCCTCTCATGTAGTACTGAGCTTGACAAAATGACAAGGAGAAGCTGAAAAAGCAACAGGAGAGGTTTTTGCAAGATATATGCATCAAATTGTAAAACAACCACTTGCAAGTGGCTCTGGAGAGCTGCCGGAGACAGAGACAGCTGGGGTTGGTGTAGCTCAGCTGTGAGCTGTATGGGAAATATTTGATTTTGGCTTACCTGCCTTCTCTTCCTGTCTTACTCTGCCCGTGCTCTTACCTGGCACAGATAAAACATTAGAACAAGTCAAAACACAGTCTCTTTGATTTCCTGACTTTATTCTCCTGCTTCCTAAGCTAGAATTTTAAATGTCAGCTTTTCAAAATGTGGCATTTTCAGAGGAGTGTTATAGCCTGGATCTCACTCAATGGAAAATGTATTTCCAGTTCAAAGAATTTTAAAACAAAACAGGAAAGGCCAAGACAAATGAAAAAGACTGGGGGAACAGCAGCTGAAGCTCTTCTGTAATTAGATTTTCAGTTGTCTCTGTCAGCATCTTTTCTCCCTGGGGAATTTGAAAGAAAAATTGAAATCTAAATCTTGCATGCCTTAGCAATGGCTCCTTTCCCTGGCCGCACTGGTAGATACCGTGGGTTTCATGGCTATGGACAAAATGAAGGCAAGAGAAAAAAAGCATTCATTAGAGCACAAAATTTGACACTTACAGAACAGGGATATTCTAAAATTCTGTGCTCCTTTTCATCTTCCTCTGCTACCTCAAATATGTGGAGGAATATGTTGTGACCTGAAGCAGACCTCGAATATGTTCAGAGATGATAAAGCCAGCAGAGGCACTATGGTGGTGCAGTTTTAATCATGTGAACAAATTTTGTCCCAGCAGTATGACTTCACTGTTCAAAAACTGAATCTTCTTTTCAGTAAGAAAGGATGACTAAAACCCTAGTGGTAATGGACCTAGAGAAACTGGGAGATCATCTAAGAGTACTTCAGAGATCATTGTATTTGGTCTGAGTGTCATGACCCACCTATAGGGGATATGATGTTCATTATCAATTCTCATCAGGCTGAACAAGGACACCAGATCATGTGTCAGAGAACTTTAGGTTTTTTTGTACAGTTGCCATAGCTCCAGTGACCAACCCAATTTTTAAATCCAAAAGGTGTTAGCAAACAAGTTCTTAAATTTATACAATCAACTTGCACAAGAGTGGATAATAACAAGTCCTTAATTTGTATAATACAGAGCAGTAACTTTTCAGTTCCCACAACAGACCTCTTAAAGGTGCTGGCTCAAGCCACAACACACAGCCAAAGGTGCTGGCTTACAAGCCACACCAACCACTATCCACAATCTCCCCACTCCCACAGCAAACTTCAATGAAGAGTATGGGGCTAAAGCATGAGAGCTGTGCTTTGCCCAAACAAAGCATGGGGACAGAGAGACAGAAAAGGGAGAGAGCTAACACAGAAAATCGCCAGTCATTAGGTCCCATGTTGGTTCTGCCATGTGGATATTCTGGAACTGGGGCAAAGCATAAGAGTGGAAGACAAAGAGAGGAAAGACAGAGTGGGAAAAAGAGAGAGAGGGGTCACTATCCACTCCCTTTTATAGGTAGCGTGGTACAGCCTCTGATGTCAATTAGATTTTTTCATGCTGCTCTGTTCACATGTGCACAGCAGCCCTTTGAGCTCTCCTCCAGGAAATGAATCAGGGTGGAGGGGGAGGCTGAGCAGAAGTCTCCAGGTGAAGCAGGAAATTGGCTCAGAACAGTGCTGCTCCACCTCCATAGGGCCCTCTGCTCCAGTCACATCTTACCTGTCATCATAGTCAGAATGTTTGAGACAGAATATGCTCATGTCTGGTCCTCCATACTGAGTCCAGCACTGGACTTGAGATAATATAATCCTCTCTGAAAGGGGTTTAGAGCTGAGGCACTCATGTACATTCAGTTTTGGTGGTGGAAGCATATCCCACTTGCCTTCTGCTGGCTCCATCAAACAGTCAGGAGTGCCCAAAGCACTGCTTCATGTTTGAAACTGCACATCTTTCAAATAGCTCTGGTCAATGAAGGACATATCTCCATACTTATGACCATATCCTGTGTTCTCTTTGTGAGGACTGGCATGATCCTCCTAGTTTGATCCCCTGTGTATCACAGGAGGCCTTGTCTCAGTGATTTGTGTCTCAAAGAAGAATCTAAGAAGAATATAAGGTGTTTAGACTTCTAGTGAGGCATCCAGCGGGGAATTTGCCTTAGAGCTTTGCTGAATGGCAGCCTTAGTAGAGCACCTTTCTTAACTTGGACAATGTTGCTGAAAACTCCAGAGGTTACCGAGTTAATTACTAGCAGAAACTTAGTGAAGAACTACCCATGGGCAACCTGGAGCTGAGTTAGCATACAAACTCCCTGTGTTTCTTTCTAAAAGTATACTCCAATTGGCCTTCTCAGTAATGTCTCAGCACCTCAGGGTTCCTTTGCCCTCATGGGTGCTCTCAGGAGAACAGGAAGTTGCTGCCTTTGCCTTCAAGACACCAGGAGGGAAATTGCATGAGGTATCTGTAGGAGTCCCCAGACAATTGCCTTTATCAAGGGATGTCTTTCCTCTGCCACACCTTCAGTCTGGGTTTCTCCAGAACAAAGCAACACAGTTATTTTTGTCTCATCTATTTGGAAGCAACAGAGCTTCTAGCAGGGTTCCAGGGCAGTGTAACAACTACAACTTCAGTCTATAAAAAGAGACCATCTGGGAAAATTTGTTACTCTTGCCATCTCCAGGTATAGCTCTGCTCCTCCTTTCTGTTCAAGCAAGCCTCCACTATTTTTGCCTTCACAAGTTATAAAATTACTGAAAGAACATGAGGGAAACAAGCCTTCTGTTACAATTCTCCCTCATAGTCACATGCACTCACATTTCACTCTGATGTGGAAGCTTCCCTGATGACAATCATTTACACAGGTACCTTTCATTCCAGTTGGGCATCCAGAGGACTGTTGATCTCCCGAAGGAAAAGAGAAAAAAAATTAAAGGAAACAAACCCAAAGTAAATGAAATGCCCTTTCAGCCAATTTCATGAACTGTCTTCTGTTATTAATTTGCCAGCATTCTTCTGGACAGTGGTCACTACTTCAACTTGCCAGGCTGTGGAGTGAGCTGCTCCATAGCAATAGCCAGTGAATGTGAACATAGACAGCATAAGCATCATGCAGAGCCAGTGAAGGGAACTTCCTAATGGAGTGAGAATGCTTAAAGGTAAGACAAGATAATGCATCATATATGAAGGTGAGGGGATCTGTAGCAGCAATGGTTGTTAGACAGGTCAGTGTAGGTTGTGTAACCCAGGGGAAGGAGCCACATCTCTCAGATCCCTGATGATTAGGTAAGCAGGGCTACAGCACACACCTTGGAGAACACCTCCTTCACAGTGCAGCTGAGACAGCCTCAAAGAGGATCACTTTCTCTCCACTGACAACTGAGCAAACTGATGAAATGACCACCTTTCCTGTGGTAACATCAGACCTCTGGTTGGTCTAGGTCACCTCACTGATCCAGTCTCTCAAAAGAAAAGCAGAACCTATTTTGATCCTTTCTCTGTCACCACAGGGAGACCTCCAGAGATCCCTCATACAGGTGGATTTTGGAGATGGCATTGCTGTGTCGTATGCCAATCTCAGCTCAACAGAAGATGGGATCAAGCATGTCTACCAGAACGTGGGCATATTCCGAGTGACGGTGCTGGTGGAAAACAGCCTGGGTTCTGACAACGCTGTCCTCTATCTGCATGTAACATGTATGTATGTTCATACTTATTGTTAGCTTCAGCTGTCCTCTAAAAAAATTATTACTTGTAGTTAGAGGTGACATTTGGGATTTTGCAGCTGGCTCTAGAATGATGGGTTATGATGACTGTTCGTCTGTCCTCCAGACAGACTGATGATTCCAGACTGAGAGTAATCATGGATCCATTAAGGTTGGAAAAAGCCTCTAAGATCATTGAGTCCAACTGTTACCTTTTGCATTTTAAACCACGTTCCACCTCTAATTTTGGGTAGTCTAGATTGGGACACCTCAAAGGACTGTCCAGCCCTTTGTGAAATGCGCTTTCGTTAGCAAGCTTACACTTCCAGAACAACAAAGGCACCCAGGGATCTTTAATCACTTTTAAAAGCCTTGACTTTGATTTCGTACATGTGTTTTGCCCTCTAATGAAATACATCCACTGCTGGGATGCACCAGTGAATTTCAATCTTTCTGTTGTCATAGGAACTAAAATCATGGTGTTAAATAGTATTGCATGAAAAAAAATATTATCTTCACATTGCTTTTCTTCTGTTCTTTTTAACATTTTTATATTTCAGCTATCTCTGATTTACAACTGAAATTTATCTCAAGTTCTTGGATAAAACCAACAATGTATTCTTTCGTATTTATTCTAGCACATGGTAATGAACCCAGAGGGTCAACCTATTATTGAAGTTTGTAACATTCCTAATGGATTTTGTTTAGGACCATCATTTTCTTTGTAGAGAGGGTTGGGTTTTTTTCATTATTTATGTTTCCAACTGTGCTCCTCTGTGCCAGATTGAGAAAAAAAAGGAAATTTCAAAACATGAAGTTACCTTTACAGAAATACTGCTTGCCCTCTACCAAATTAACTCCACATGTTGTCTAGATAATTTATCACATTCTACATACTTTAACTCTAGTTTTGGAGTTAGCTCATACAGCATGAAAGTAGTTCATGGGGAAGAGGGCAGCTTTTAAATGGTGCACTCTAATATCAACAGATGTAAGCAGTGGGAGATATGGCTGTGGGAGGTATGATTTTTATGAGGGAGCACTAGAGAAGCAGGAGCAAATATCACCCTGAATGGCTTCCTTAAAAAATACCTTGAGTTGGCTTGTGTATAGCCTTCACTCACTTGTAGTGTCTCTCTGCTCTATAGCTGTTCTAATTCTTTTTCTTGAGACATTGAAGGCTTATGGACCATTTTGGTTGTTTAAGCAGGACAAGAAATAAAGAATATTCAGACTCATTTGTGTGACTTAGCAGCTGATAGTGTATGTCTCTGTGTTTTGTGTAGATAATGCCAGCACAGGACTTAAACACTGAGTGATCATTGAAGTCAGGCCCAGATTATATGTGCCAGACTCCCTGGGAAAGTGACAGCTCTAAGGGATGTGTCTCACCTTTATCTACATGACAAGAATTAGGGACTTCAGAACAGGTTACAAATGAGCATGATACCACTTAGACTTGAAATAGACTTGCTGAGGACAGAGATGTACAGTAAATCCAGCCCCATCCAGAGTCTAACACCCTGATCCACAAAAGCTTCTAAATCCTATTTGAATACTTCCATTGCCACTCACCTTTCCACTGAGTATTCTGCTTGGGGTGTTTGAGCCTGGCCTTTGGGAAGTTTTGTAAAAATACCTGTCCTTAAAATAGGCACACATGCTGTATTGCTAAGATCCACAGAAAAGCAGTGTGTAGCCTGAACACCCAGAATTTTAGGAAGGGCTACAAACTGGATGATCCCTAGTTACAGGGTTAATACATGAGTGTGTGCAGCCAGATCTGGGCATCCCAGCACCCTTTGCCACCCAGGGCCATCAGTCTTGCTGAGAGGAAAGCTGCAGGCACTGAGTCTCTGTGCTTGTGACTCAAAGAACAAAATTTTCATCCCGTGCCCTCCTCATCCTGCTGCAGCCATGTGGCCAGTGCACCAGGAGCAGTACCTTTGCTGCAGTTGGTACAGAGATCAAGAAATTCCTTTTATTGTGGGACAGGAGCGTTTTGGTTGGATAGACAGTAAATTGTATATGAACTGCTTCTCCAGCCAACAGGCTGTCCCTAAGCTATCCTGACACGTCAAAAGTTTCTCCTAGAAAGTTAGTTATGCATTTGCCTGAATGCTTCAGAATAACATCACCTGCCCACCTGAACCTTTTGAGAAGTTTCTCCCTTTCTGTTGACTGGGACTTGTACACAGTTGGATTTTTTCCTGAGGCAGGTGAAGGTCTGTAGCCTCCATGACCCTGCATGAAGCTCAGAAATTAATTTTCTTGAATCCTTTTCAAACTTACCCGGGATAAAGCAGTCTCCTACCAGGCTGAGGGCCTATCCAGAGTGAGCTATCCCCATCTGCTGGCCAGATAACAATTCAGCATTTCAGCCACCTTGACCCACCTGCTACATGCTCAGAAATAGGCAGAATTGGTTTGCTTGAGCCATTTTTTCATGTTCTTTCCTAGCCAGCATATGGTGAAGGTCCATGGAGGTGCTGGGTGCTCTCTGCTGTGCAGGATCATTTGAGATTTATTCAGAGCAGCAATGCAGTTATGTTGGAATATGTTAGACTTTTCATGGGCTCCATCATCCCAGCTGTCACTGCAGCCAGTGTTAGGAAATTTATTCCTCTGCAGGGCTGTGCTGCTGACACTGGGCATTCTACAAACATCCCAAAGGATACTGGAGCTGCAAAATATTTAGCCTGGGAAATTGCTGGTTTTCAGATGTCAGTGCCTTCCTGAAAGCAGGCACAGCCTGGTCATGGAAATGGATTTGAGCTGGGAAATGCATTAAAATCATAAGGGTGAAATTGTGGCCTCTCATGAGTTTTCAAGAGTGGTGACTGTTGCTTATAAAAGAGAAAAATGAGCCATGGTCTGATCTATAGCAGGCTTTGCTTAGTCTGATCATGGATAACTGCTTCAGGCTAAGAAGTGGCTGTGTCTACAGCCCAGAGAAGGCTGCACTTCAATAATAAATCAGGAACACTGGTCCTTATTCTGCAATTGTTTATGCAGTCTGATTTAGGAGACTTTTTTTTTGCTCTCTGTGACTGTGTGCTAGACAGGATGCTTGTTCCTTGGTGTGTGGTGTTTCTTTAGATTGAATAGCAAGGTCTAAGTGGTGATACCTGCGTGGGATATATCTCGAAAGATCCTCCCCTGAAATATATAAAATCCTCTAGCAATGTACCTGAAGTCCATATGAACAATGGAACCAATCCCTCTAGGCGGTGGTCTCTGGTTCTCATCACTGGGGAACTTGCAGATGTAGGATGTGTAGATGTGGCTTTAATTTGATTAAGGAACCCATGTCCCCATGTCATCTGGGGTTTCTTTCTTTTTCTTTCTCTGTCACTCAGGACAATTGCTTTGCTCTCTTAGTGAATAGTCAGAACACATTTTAAAAAATAATCTATAGGACAAGAGTTAACAACAAAGGCCCATTGGTCTCCAGAAGATGGGAAATGTGTAACCCTGGGCATAATGTCACTTGTCGAATGAATTATGTTCTGTTTATCCTGAAGAAGTAAAAGAGTTTATTGATGAAAAAGAGTGAGTATAAGGTAACATTAAAATGCAGGCACTCAGTGAATGGCTGCCTTCAGATAGAGTTTCTGCTGAAGTTCACCAAATCATAGCAGTTTTCATCAGCAGAGATGCTTCATGTCCCCTGAAGCCATTTGTCCTCCACATTCTTATCTCTTCCTGGTGGAGGCCATAGTTACACAGCAGGGCTCTGCCCCTATTGTTTAAGTCATGTTTAAGCTCCTGCCTGTATGACATTCATACAGTAGAGAATCCAGGTTTTTCAGCTCCAGGTTCAGGGGTCGTTCCTGTTCTCTGAGGAACAGATTTAAGCCTACCTCTCTAGAAATACTACCAAGCCAAAACATTCTGTCATGTCCCACAGTGATTTAGAAGACTTTTCTTCCCTAAACCAAGGTATATCCTTCTCCTCCATGCTGACATTTCAGATGGAGGGAGGACTCATCTGCTGCTTCTGTCTCTGCAGGCCCCTTGGAACATGTTCACTTATCTCTACCCTTTGTCACAACGAAGAACAAGGAGATCAATGCCACGGCAGTATTGTGGCCAAGCCAAGTGGGAACACTTACTTATGTCTGGTGGTTTGGGAACAACACAGAGGTTTGTATTCCTGATTGGCTGAAATCAAAATATCCTGGAGGAGCAATTTGAGTGAAGAGGGAGGGGAAGAGGGATCTGGGAATGTTTCTATGTAGTCACATATGCAAGAAAATTCGAAACCAAAGACCAAGATGCTAATGGTTCTTTGAGGCACCAACACTGAAATGTAAGTAGTGCTTTGTGTTTGTGACTGTTACTTATCTGTAGAGTTCACTGCTAATTCATGCAAGTTGCCAATGGCTTTCTTCCTGCATTGCATCCAAGGTGAACATAGTTAACCAGAATCTGGAAGAGTTTCTAGTATGTTTTTCTTCACCCTGCCTTCTTCAGCAACAAGAAAAAAAAACATAGGGGTTTTGGTGGTTTTTTGTTTTAGGAAAATAACCTTTCAATCTGAAGCTGCTTTTATATCTGGAACTGACTTTACATAGCCCTAGAGTTTAAACCTCACTTCTCTGGTGACTAACAAGGGAAGAGACTGCCATCAGTTCTGTGTCTTCCCTTAAATATGCTGAACCCAAACCTGAGCCCCCATACTCTATGCTAAACCACATGTGCAAAAAGGCCTTATTATCATGTGCTACAGGTGGATGAAATGGTTCCCAATACACCTCCCTGCCTCTGGGCTCTGCTCAGATATGAGGGCATCATCTGTCGTGTTCTGCTGCCTCTTTGTGGCTGAAGTACCCAGAAACCCTAATTAATTTCCAAAAGGAGAGCTATGCATGGATTTTATAGAGCCAACAGGGACCTTCATAGGCACACATGGTTATCTTCTGTATAAAGCAGGTTGGAGAGTTTCATCAGTACATTCTGTTCTATTTAACTCTTTGTGATTAAGGCAGAACCTGACTTTTTGTTGTTTTGCGCTAATACTTTCCTTCAGATGGTGGAGAATTCTCTGCTTCTCCTTCTGGCCCTCTCCCCCAACTGTTTTCCAGCAGCTAATTATCCTGAGCTTTGAACACATGCACTGTGTTTGTAGTCTGAATTTATCTAGTCTCCATTTCAAGCTGTTGGATCTTGTTATGCCTTTGTGTGTAGATTAAAGAACTCTCTGTACTATCAGCAATCATCTCCCCCTAGAGGTACTTACAGGCTGTGATTGTCACCTTTTAACCTTCCCTCTGATCTCCTAAGCTCGTAAGTGATCAGAGTTGGTCTAATTCTGTTCTCATTGAAGTGAGAGTTTTACTACAGACTACAATGGCAACAGTTTGACTTAACACTGGGTGCTTTGAAGATCTCACCCAGAGTTCATTAATAAGTGAAAACAGAAGGTAGGGCAGACTCTGCTGAAAGAGGACACAACTCATGGATAAACCAGTGGCATAGTGAAGCAAGCTAAGGGAATCTGTGTCCTCTCTAAGCAGGATGGTGCCATCACTTACAATGTCTCCATGTCTAAGGATAACATGGGACAACAATGAGAAATCTTAATTTGACTCCTGGTTCTGTGACAACCTCCTTGAGTCACCTTAAACAAGCCACTTAAACTAGATCTGAGAAAGGAGTGTGGCACCTGAGCATGATCTTGCAGGCCCTTATATTAGGGTCTGGGTCACTCTGGAGAGTGAGCAAAGATAGGCATTGTAACATGGGATCTAAAACAAACAACATGCTAAGCAGAAAGGAAATACTGGAATCTTAAAATTTACTTCCTTTGGAAACTGTAGGTATGTTACTTTGAGCTTCAGGAGGACATCCCCATTTGGATTCCTGTGTCCTCTCTAGAAATGTGGTTTTCATGTCACAGGACCCCTCCTAAGTCTTAAGTTTCCAACCTGGAACTAACTCCCCAAAGCTTCCCAATATGCTTGAGAGCCAAACTTATTTTGGCTTTTCCTTTCCAGCCAAATTAACATATTTTCACCTTTTTTTGCAGCCACTGATCACATTGGAAGGGAGCATCACATTTACATTTTCTGTGGAAGGGATGAACAGCATCACTGTTCAGGAGGAAACACAACAGGACACAAAGACTATTGCAGTGTATGGTGAGTTCCTCCCCCTTCATTTCACATAGGATTCTCCATAGTCAATAGCTAGAGAGCCAGGTTAGCTGGCAGCAACAAGAGGTCTTTATTTCAGGATGCTTTGAGTGAGATTATAAATTCAGTTCCAGTGTTTTATCAGTTCATCATTTCTCTGAAGGCCACTGACTGACATTAGTCCAGACTGACTATTGCAGTGTATGGTGAGTTCCTCCCCCTTCATTTCACATAGGATTCTCCATAGTCAATAGCTAGAGAGCCAGGTTAGCTGGCAGCAACAAGAGGTCTTTATTTCAGGATGCTTTGAGTGAGATTATAAATTCAGTTCCAGTGTTTTATCAGTTCATCATTTCTCTGAAGGCCACTGACTGACATTAGTCCAGACTGACATGATTGCAGAACATTGATCTCCTTCCCAGAGCCCTAATAATCCTGTATGATTGTCAAAATGTTAGTTCATTTTGCAGGGTGGTTTTCCCTCTTCTTGGCCAGCAGAGGCCTCTTAGCTCACACAAAAGCTGCTCAGCTTGAAAGATAAATCAATGCCATGTACTGCAGTTGTGCACAGAAATCTGTACTGATTTGACATTGTACTCATGCCTCAGAAGTAGTTAGGGCACACAAATACTGTATAGTGTAGATGGAGCCTAAGAACCACTGGGAATCCCAGTTTTAGCTGTTTATACTAAGCACATGGTCATAGTGATCAATGTGACCACATATACTAACAGCAACAGAGATTAAACACATTTTCCAAGGCTAGTTCCCTCCCCACATTTATCCCTGTCCCCTTCCAGTTAAGATTTATAGTGTTTGGGGCATGTCTATGAGAGTACAATCACAGGGCTTGCCTGCTCCAGAAGACAAGATGAAGGTAGCATTTCACTTACATTCCAACACAGCTCCCTTTGCAGTGCTATTCATCCACTCAAGTAAGGGTTGATCACCTTTTTCAGTTCCGAGACACTTGAAGTCGTGAATTGCTCAGATTCTCCAAATCTCTCAGTGAGTCTCTCAGACACACTGCTGGATTCTCTGACACTCTGTGCATCATTTGCAGATTGATTAAGCAAAATATAAGCTGCAGTAGGTTTCTCTAGGTTCTGACCCCTCATTTGGAACTAAGGCATTTCACAGTCTTTATTTGCCACCATGTCATTGTATCTGCAGAGAAATTTCAGTCCCTGAGGTTATCATTCTCTCCGAATCTTGATGACTACAACCCAGATATCCCAGAGTGGAGGAGGGACATCAGTAAAGTAGTGAAGAGAGCTCTGGTTGAGGTAAGCTATGTGCATAACCTGTGTTACAATGGGTCTAATTTCTGCTTTGTTCCATCATTGGGACTGGATCAGCTGTTCTCTTGAGGTGTCTCTTTGTTTCTACCAACTAGTGAAAGAGTTTGAGGCCAGCATCCTAAATTTTAGACAGGTGAAATTTTCTCATCCTATGACAACCTGCTGCTCAGAGTCAGCCTTCAGTGTAAAGTAGCACTATTCTAACAGAATTACAAATATGCTGTAGAAAATTTATGAGACCAAAAAGAAAACAATTTTTACTACATAGAAGAGCACCAAAGTATGTGCTATATTGTCTTTCATATAGCATGAGGCTCACAGGTTAGGACTGGAAGCTGGTTTTCCCATCAACACTATAGAGAAGCTCTGAAGTACCTTCTCTAAGTGTGGAACAGAATGTAATAAAAAGTCTAGAAAAACACTATGCATTAATCAGGTGCATGCAAACTTGGCTGGATTGCATCTGAGATTTTTTTCTGAGATTCCTCAAAAGACAGGATGAGAGGAGGAAAAGGGAAAAAAAAGAGCATTTTTCAGGACCTTGTTTTTCTGACATATTTATGTCTGTATCAAGTATTCAAGGATCCATTTATCCTCAGGATGAATTTTCAGAATATAAACAACTCAATAAAACAAAATCAAACCATAAAAATAGAAGAATTATAAAACCACAGTACCAAGGCTACATTCCAAAAGCAGAGCAGCGAAAACACAAAGTCTTTTTGTTGTTTGGGTAAAAAGAAAAATTATTAAATTAATAGCTAATTATCCCCCTTTATATAGCTAAATGATTCACCTTAAACAAGCCTCTGTGAGAAGTTCCTGTAAAAATTAAAGATAAACCCAATAGATTTCTATGGCAATTAAGTAAACTGTATAAAAATGAGTTGAATAACTAAATAATTCAAAACGAAATTATAGCTGTGCTATAGAATTTTTATGAACTTTTATTTAAAGTATTGCATTCTTATTACAGAATACCATAGGCTTGGATAAAAATTCTGCACATGAAATTATAGCACTCTACTGAAATCTGATCTTCTCTCTAAGGATAATTTCATATTATAACAAAATATCCTATTTTGTGTTATGATCATAATTATTTGCTCACATCATTGATTTTCTGAGTCCTGTCTCCCACTTTTGATGAAGACAAGAAGAATGAACTGAGTAGATCAGCCAAGCACTTCCAGAAACGCAAAAAAATCATTCCCAGCCTCTGAAAATTAAAGCTTTCCATTAACTGGTCATATTGTGTCTTTTTCTTGACATCTTAAAGCAACCTGTTAGGTAAGCATAAATAATGCAAGTCCTGGCTTTGCAGAATACTCAGAAAGAATATGAGGCCTTTATACGTTTATAGGGGGTTTTTCCTAAATTTACATTAAAAACAAACAAAAAAAAAGGGCAACAAAGCCATGTGCTTTGCCTTCGTGTGTGTTGGAGGAGGGTTTCCTTTTCATACCTCCACAGGGCTTTCCCTGGACTGTCAGCAGTCATGCTTGGGTTATCCACAGAATTAGCTCAGGAAATGGTGATTTATAATCAGTTTTGCTGACTCCTTCTCCTCGATCCACCATTTCCTTCAATGAGCACCTCTTTCAAGTGTTTGCTCCTGAATTACTAAGGAGAAGAATTCATGAGATTTATGTCCAATGAATGTATGAGAGACTTGTGAGTCCTTACTGCAGGGGAATCTCTGCAGTGCATCCAGTTGCTGTGGCCTGTCCTTATATCTGAGGATGCATTTATTTTTTCCCCCTTTGAAAGTGACCTGCTAAATTCAGCACTTGAAAACTTAGGTTTAAATTAAAACCTTTATATTTAAGTGCATTTGCTGGAGAATTCACAACACAAAGCGGCAGTTGATGAAGATTCATCAAATTATGTTTCTCCTTCTTTTGGATACCAAAACTTCCTCAGGGCCAAACTAGGTCCTTTTCTGGATGATAACTCCAGAATCTGATTGTGTAGTATCATGATAACATCAGCTCAAACTCATGACCAGAAATGACCCTGATAGTGATGCCTGTGAGGTACTTTTTTCTGAACTTTGGCTAATGGGCCAAAATTTAAGTTCTATCTTAAGATTTTCAGCCAACAAGACAAAAAATGTAGGTGTGGATGTGTTTGGCTTTGGGGACTCAAACATGTTTCATCATCTTCTCACTCCCTGAGTTTCCATAAGGCTTTTAAGATATTTTGGCTAATCGTACCTCGAGAGTGCAATTCTGCACGTACCTTGCCCTTTAATGTGTGTCTTATTACCATTGACTAAATGTAGAACCTCATGGGCTTGGGATAGTTATATAACCTTAAAATGGCTAAATTCAGACAAAACAAATCATACCATATGCAACTGTAATTTAAGAGCCCCTTTTAGTATGTCTGATTATCATTATTGCTTTAGGACCCTGAAAATTTTACTGAAGAACATGGTGAAATATCTTAGATCAGGAAATTACTACTCCCTGACTTTTTACTTGCAGTGGATTTTAACAAAATTCTCTCCGCTGGAACAAATATACCCTACAGCATTTGTATAAGTACTATGATGCCTTTGCAAAGAGGCTCTCAGTATTCAGTACCATCCCCACTCTTTATCTGTCCATTATTTGTCTGTGTATCAGGCGACAGGTATTTCCAGCAAGCACGTTCTGGTCGCAGTGCTGCCTGGTCTGCCCACATCTGCTGAACTCTTCATTTTACCTTATCAAGATGCCACAGGAGGAAAAAAAAGAACAGCAGCAGACCTAGAGCAGGTATTGTGTCCATTACTTGGAGAGCGTATGTTTATGCATTTGTGTGTATCTATATCTCTACATGTATATGGGATTTCCAATCCTGGTTAGAACCAATAATTATGGTAGAAATGCATCTGATTCACTAGGGTATATGCTACATACACTTTGGTTGTGGGTTTTTTGTTTGATTGGGTTTTTTGGGGGCTTTTTTTGTTTGTTTGGTGGTTGTTGTTGTTTTTTCTTCCCAACACTGGAAACAGACTTTGGAGCTGTATTTAGAAGTTTAGACCCCTAAGTGTGTTAATTTGGTATAAATTTGTATGATGTCATGTCTCTCCCTTAGAAATCCTGTTCTACTTGATGCAAGCAGGAAGAATGCAGGAAGGATTTGGGGTGATAAACCTGAAGAGTTCAGAACTTCATTAATTTAAGGCACAGGGATGGGGTTGGAAAATCTGCCTGCACTCTTCATGATGCTGGCAGAGGGCTTGAGCCACTATGGATTATTTTCTCTGTACAAGGCCAAAACAGGTTCTGGCAACTGAAGGGATATATCTCCATGCAGACCCAAAAGGTCGTACCCACCAGGTAGCATGATTGTAACTAGAAGATGAAACACTATGTTGGGCAAAAATCCTGAAATGTCATGAATCATAGAATTGTTAAGGTTGGAAAAGACCTCTAAGATCATAGAGTTCAATGATAACCTAACAGCACTATGTTCACCACTACACTATGTCTCCATGTTCCATAGCTCCTTTGATATCTCTCAACTTATTACTTCAGATTCCAGGGACAAAGATGACTATCCCTGAGGGAAGCACTGATTCTCCATACAGCACATCCCATGGCTCAAGCCTTGTTAACTTAGCTGTGGGCTTCAGTCCACTGAGTCACCTATATTCTTAAGCTTTCCCTTGCTCAGCATCCTTACCTGTCATCTTTTTTTTGACAAATCACTTTCCTCTGCAATTTTCACCACCCATGTAATAAACAAAAAATATGGAGATTTACTGCTCTGAAAATCTTACCTCCTTTTTCTCTTTCATCCCCTTTCTTCTTTCCTCCTTCATAAATTGGCAAGGAAGCCAGTCCATAAACCTTCAAATTTACATCTGACCCAGCTCCCATCTGGCACTCAGAAGCTTACTCTATTTTTCCCTCCTGTAAAAATGGAGTCTTTGTGGCTGTGGAGAAAGGAAGCCTTGGCAGTGCTCTTATGACCCTTTTTATGGACAAGAGGAAATGTAATTTTCAGCATAACTCCATCTACTTCTCTGGCATCCTGCAGGGTCCAAATGGTAACCTTTGGAGGAGAAAGAAACTATTTGCCATTTTCAGCCAGTTGTTTTGTGTGAGGAAGTATCTGCCCTGCTCCATTCAGGATGGGCAGAATGTTTTTTCTTACTAGTCTGTGGGTACTGCATTGCCCTTTCTTACTACTCTAGTAGAAAATGATATTGTTTTCGGTGAGAGATGCTTAAGTGCCACAAAAGGTGTCTCTGCCCTCAGCTCCATAGCATATTCTGATACTGTTCCTGTTTTGTCATGCATTTTGCCTGTGATCCTTCGCTATCCCTTTTCCAAAGTATTTCAGAGCTCATTCAACAGCCTCTCCCTGCACCTAAACTTGCCTGTGATACTTTCCAAAGTATTTCAGAGTTCATTCAACAGCCTCTCCCTGCACCTAAAATCCCTGGGATGAGTACTGGGAGCAGATGTTTTTGATGACTGCAGCTTAAGTTGCTTCTGAGATACTTATGATGTATAACATTCTTCTCTGGTAGCAATAGGAATCTGTTTTGTGTTCATGAGCAGGGAACAAAGTATTCAAAGGCACATAAGCGAGTTTGTGTGTTTGCAGATGCACACCCAAAGGAGTTATAGTTCAGAATTATTTTTTAGCATTTGAAAGAGAAACTTCAAAGTATACAGGAATAAAATGGAAATAGTTTGCACAAACACTGCAATGGAACAAGGTTCCATAAGGAAGTAATTAATTATATAGATTCCTTTTTTCATGGTGTCATATCACGCATGGAAGCTTCTCTCCAAACATGAGACATAGCCTCTCCAGAGACACAGTGACAAATAGTTACTTTCCCAGGAAAACCTCCAGTCATAATAGACCAGGTGGAAAAGAGTTACAGAAACTAATGTTTCTATTCTGTAAAAGCTCTTGTTTCAGTGCCCAAGGGAGGGAAAACCTAACTCATTCTCGAAATCAAAAGCTCATGAAACAGAGTGAAATACAACAGGATGGGTGTGCTCTAACCCTCTCCTCCTCCTCCCCTCTTTGACAGAGCATCCTAAAGTCAGCATGTACACTTGAGGTCATATGACAGATGTGGTGATGCAACCCTAAATCCACCATATTCACATGCCAGGTGTCAGAACAGTAGGGCCAGGGACACTCTGTGATCCTGATGCTCTGCTCAACCTGTGCTTGAAAGGGAGAAGCCATGTAGATCATGTGGGTGGTGCATGCTAACTTTTGTTAGCTAAAGCAAGCAAGGCTAAGGACGGCTGATGGAGTGGGAAGAAGGGAGAAGCAACAGAAATAGTAACTGAAGAGGGAATTCAAACTGCATCTCCCCACATGAAGCTCCTAAAGTTGCTGCAGGCCATGTCTGTCAGAGCACCTGTGAGGTTTTTGGGCAACTTGCTTAACTGAGCTTTATTGCATCACCTGAGCTAGACCATTGTTCGGCCATGGGTAACAATAAAGGGTATATGTAGTTTCATAGACTTTCACATTTACCAGTAAATCTGGTAAATTTATGTATCTAATGATATGATGGGTTTACTTTTTTTGCTGTTTCCCCTTGAGGTGGATTAAGCTGGTCTGTTTTTATCTGGTACATATTCATCTGGCTTTGCAACCATACCTTTAGGTCTCTGTCCAGTCACTCTATGGTCTCTAGGTACATAATTCCCATTGACTTCAGAGGCAGTTAGATGTCCACTGTCTCTTGAAAATCTGTGTCTTAGTTTTCCATTTGTTAAGGTCAATAATCCTCCTCTTTGCTACTCATATTTTGTGAGTCTAAACACAGTAAGCCATGAATTTTGGGGTACAGTAACAGTGGGACTGTGGTAGTGCACCACACCTGACAAATACACTTTTCCACTAGGGTGGTGCATTTGTGTCTCATGCTCATGTTGAGACTGTGGTTAGATGGTAGATGTCATTTTCTCCTTGACTTGATGTACCACTTTCCTTCAAGTGTCCCAAATTATTTTTTGTGTACACACAGTACCAATTACTGTCACATCTGTTTGCACACTACATTTAAAAATGTGAACTCTGCATTCCTGGTATTTTCCATGAGAGTCCAAAGTACCTTTAAAAAAGTTTAACTGCTCTTGACAGCTGAAAAAACCTGCTACATATGAGTCTGGGGTGATTTTCTCAATGTGCAACATGGGGCAATTCGAGCTAATACATAAATACAAAAAACGTGCTTGATTCTGTAGTCAGTGCAAACTTCTTCTTCACAGCTTCCTAAAAAATCAAAAGGCCTTTTCATCCTGCAAAATCCTAAAACACATTCACAAAATATTGTATTTATGACCAGAATGTTGCGACATTCTTTTTTTTTTTTTCTTCAATAAAATTGGGTCACTTGGTTCCCCTGCTTTATTTCACAGTAACAGAGGATAGACTACCACCCTGCTTAAAAATGTAGAAATAATTAGCAGGTATAAAATGCTGCTGTTTGTTTTGCATGCTGTGATCACAACACCACTAAAATATCCAAATCTTGCAAAAAAAGCCACACAGAATTGCTATTGGCCACTTAGGCTATCATGCAGTTGTTATACCATCTTCATGAATGGGTTGGTTAATGTGATGGTTACAGAATTCATATCTGCCACTCCAAAAGCACCAAATTCTCTCTCTTCAGTAAATGGAAAATCTCTAATTAGCAACATTTCAAGAAATTTTTGGGCAATTTTTAGCACTAATCCAGTTCATAATGAATGCTTGGTAGGAGAATATTCTACTTACAATTCAGTAGAGGGCAGTGATGCAAATACACAGATACAATTACTCAATTTACTTCAGTGTTTGGTTTTTCTCAATAGGAGGATTCTGAAGAGTTATCTTTTTATTTATGCATTTCACAAATTGTCCTCTCTCCGTGTCGTTCGCTAGCGGAGGCTTTTTGTCAAATATAGCAAATGCATCTTCTGTTAGTCAAATGAGATAGATGTAAGCAGAAGATGCATGAGAAGTCTGAAGTGATGTTTTCATATCAAGTAAAGGTTTCAGCAGTATTCTGCACTTCCCTTTAGTTTTCCATTTGCATGCTTTTACCTAGCCTATTCAAAATAACTGTAAAAGCAGAATGCAAAATAGAGGTAGGAGCAACTAGTTAATGGCATTCAAGGCCATTAATCTTTTCTCTGAGAAGAGCTATCAGCAATGTAGTGAGCATGATGGAGACTTTGGCACATGGCAATGTCAGCTGATTAGTAGCCAACTGTGCTCAACATGTTGCAGCTGTGGCCAGTGTCTGTATCCAGCCAAGGAGATGGAGAATGACATGGATGATTGAGTATCAAATGGACAGTGATGAACTGCAGAGATCAGATACCTCTGGCAAATTTAAAACTATGGAGAGTGGCATTCAGGACCCTATATGAGTGTGTCTCTTAGGATTCTTTCCTTAAAGCAGATTTAGTTTTACATCTGTTTTGTAGCTGATGGAGCGTCTATCTTTTCTTGCAGTTTGGGCTTTTCTTTCACCCACCCACCTAAGCTTTAGTGTTTCAGCATATTTAATCTTTTCTCTGATGTATTTCAGATGTGCTCTTCACCAAGGTATTTTTAGCAACAAGATCATGACAGTGAACACCTTCATGTCTTACAGAAAATGGTGCCAATCAGTCCTGGAAATTAAATTCCAGGAAGAGGTTGATGTACAAAGTAAATCATCTAGTGTTTACTAGGAGATATTTTTTTAACACCTGTACCTTTGAATGCAGATCAAGTCTTCCACTGGGTACTTAGAGGAGGTTGGGCCTGTGTTAAGAAGTAAAGGCAGGTGAGGAGAAAATGTAATAATATGAACCAAAAGACCTTGTACCAGTGTTTTTATTCCTTAGCCAGTTTTTCTTGATCAGCTGCTTGTGTGCTGTAGAAGAGACTATCTGTATCTCTTGTCTTAATATCTTTGATTTAACTCCTGCCATGTGACTATCGGCTCTCAACTTCTCATCTTTTGCTCAGTGTACAGAGCAGTCCTTGATTCTCAAGACTCTTTCTGGTCCATCAAAAGTTGATCCTAGCTTTTATGTCCAGGTTTTCTCTAGGTTTCTATCTGCTGGTCCATTCTTGTCCCAGAGTAACCACAGGAATGTCTTCTGCCTTGTGCTCTCACAGTGTATCTGGATGCTAACAGCAACTTGAATTTAGCATCATTCACTGAAAGATCCAAAGAAATTCCTGCTAAAAAAAGTCATATGCTTTTTTCAGTGCTAAGGCAAGAAAGCTTTAGAGGCCTCATGTGAAGTAACCAAGGTTATGCAGGGCGAGTGGCACAGTTTAAAGTAATCCACATTGGCCCTTTTGTAATATTGGTTCAAGTTGCTTCCTGCCAAATCAATGTGCATAATTCTTTCCTTAGTTGTTTATTGATTTACTCAATGAATTGAATAGAAGTATGCTTTTTTCAGTGCTAAGGCAAGAAAGCTTTAGAGGCCTCATGTGAAGTAACCAAGGTTATGCAGGGCGAGTGGCACAGTTTAAAGTAATCCACATTGGCCCTTTTGTAATATTGGTTCAAGTTGCTTCCTGCCAAATCAATGTGCATAATTCTTTCCTTAGTTGTTTATTGATTTACTCAATGAATTGAATAGAAGTGTAGCACTCATTAGTTGAGATCTTTACACAGTATCTATAAAATTATCTAGATTCTTAGCTAGTGCATACTGGCACAGTTGAATCACATTCAATTAGTCTAAACTAATTTACACCAGAGGTTTCAAAATTCAATAAAGGTATGGGAAAATGCCCTTCTTAGTAATAATTCTGCTTCTTGGTGCACATGGTTCTTTTACAGTCCTAATTCCAACAAAATGCTAAGAGAAGCCAAATTAATTTTTGTTTTGTTCCATTTTTAAATTGGAATCTCTTTTTTTCCCCCTTCACAAATTGTCTGTTATTATTATTCATTATGTGTCCTTTGATGAAAAATGATACGTGAAGAATGGTTTCTATTACTGAATTATTTTTGCACATCATGCTTAATTCTGCAAATGAAGCAGATAAAGTCAATGAGGCTCAGTTAAGGACCAAAACTAATTCTGAAAGCTAATTATTTTCACAAGAGAGACTCTTGAAGACTATAAATTAGGAGGTTGCTATTCTAAGAAGTTTTGTCTTCAGCTGAGTTAGTAGCATCTCCAGGATGGAGAGAGAAACAGGGAGAGGCCTGAGGCCAACCTGTTCCCCAGCTGAAGGTCTAGCTGTTCAATTGGAGTTGCATTGCTATTTTTGAAATGGGCCAGAGTGCTTTGTTGTTTCCTTTTCTACATTTTAAACAAAGGTGCGTCCATGGTACCACTTTGAGTGCAGAGATAAAAGGAGGCATAAACCCCAAAATGTTATCCATTGAAACTTTTTTATTACCTCAGCAACTGAGATCAGAGTTTGTGTGGAAATGTATTTCAAATATACTGTATTAATATTGTAAACTAATTATATGGGTCAGAACCACTCATAGATTAAAGTCTGATAACTGAGCTAGAAATAGACTTGATGGAGAAAGAAGGGCAGAAAAGCATCTTCTCCAGTATCAAAACAAGTGACCCTGCAGTTCACAGATCCCTCAGGACCATATGAGGACCAGAAACATTGTGAAGTCTAACTTTGGAGAGCAGTGTCCAATTCCAAAGTGAATTTGGACCTTTTGGTATGTGCAACCTACTCATTGACCTCAAATACTGGTTTTTGTAAACCACTATGTCTAGTTTCTATTTCAGATAATTCTTAAAAATACAGAAATTCATTTTTCACTCTCTGCATGTCTATTTCAAAGAGAATATTAGTTTCCATACAAAGAAAAATGAAAATATTTTACCGAGCGAGCAAGCATTTTAAAAACAAGTCTGAATGCATCTGTTCTTCCAATGGAAGTATGTGTCAGGAATCTCCAGAGCTGCCTGAGAAAGGCAGATGTCTGGTTCTCACTAGAACTTCTGGCACTTTTGTAGATCTTAAGCTGTTAGTCATTTTTTTCGCTTGTTCAGATTCCATAAAAACCCAGGCAAAAAAAAAAAGGCTGTACCCACAAAGCCACTGGGAGAGCATGTAATTAATTGAGCCAAGGAAATATGCTTTATGCTCTGAGCAACATAAACAGTTGCTACTAGTTTAAACACTTTGTGTGCAGTCCTGGTACAGTTGTGGCTATTTCAAGCCTCTGCTGAGACATTGACGGTTTCAGGCAGAAATAATTTTATTCTGAGACACATTTGTACAGGACATTGTACAACAAAGTCCTCATTCACGATCAAGTAACAATGCAATGCAATAAGAATAATCTTCAGTTGAGACTGTTTCTTTCTGTCTTTCTACCTTTTTCTTAGTACTTCACTCTTAACTGCCTCTCTACTTCCTATTATTCCTTTCCATTGTCTCTCCAGAAGGAATACTTGTTGAGTTTTTCCTCACACACCACTTACCCCTGGGGGACAGTCATAGCACCTCTCAGCTTTTGTGTCCCTGCTATTTTGCCCTCTTCACTCTGCACCACAGAAGTTCTCAGGCAGGACAGGGGAGATCTCACTGTTCCTTCATGTCACTGGTGCCCAACAAAGTCCCCTGTAACCTCTCACATTGACTTTCTCAAGATTCTCCTATTCTTCTATTTCTTGCCCAAATCCTTGTTGAAACAATTCTCCAGTACTACACAGCAGCTTTTGCTAGCTGCATTCTCATTTTTACATCACATTAAGCCTCTGTAACAGAAGGCATTATGTATGTTTTTTACCTATGCTGTTTCCCTGCCATTTTGTGCAACTATCACAGTGTGTTGAAGAGGAATGACACAATGAAGTTGGCCCTTTCCTTCAGTTTACTGTCTTGTGGTTCCTTTATTTTCTTTTGGTGGGGTTTTTTTTTTGTTTGTTTGTTTGGGGGTTTTTGTGGGGTTGTTTTTTTTTTCAGAGGCTCAGCTGCCCCAGCAGCATCAGGATCTCAGAGCACAAAGGGAGATAATACCTGCAGGGGTATGAAGGAGAGCTGTTAGGTCATGATTGGGACTGGATATAACCAGGATGGCATTTTTCCCATTATTTCCATAAGCCATTAATGTACTGGGTTTACAGCATGTAGATCTGCATCTGTTGCTCCAGTTTTAGAAATTCAGAGCTTTTTATAGTTGTCAATCTTGGTTATTAATATGCTAAAATCCATAAAAAGACATATAATTTGCTTCCCAGGATTTCTTCATGTACTGCACATCTTTGTGTCACCATCCCTGCTGCTCTGAGCTCAACAGATGGCTCTTTGAAAGCAGGTGGTATTTTTTATGGCTATTGGAAGAAATATATTTACTGCTTATTCTGGCACCTGTGAAAAAAATTGTAACTTTAAAGAGATATATTTAAAAATATAAATAAAATGCCTGTAAGAGTTATTGCCAAATTGATATTGGACCAAAGGCACCTATTCAAGTGATCAGAAGCCAGAAATGAAGTGTATGAGCCAAGAGTATTGAAAGAACCATTAAGAATGATAAAAAAATAAAAGAAGCTGATAAATCTTGTACTGTGATGAATGATAGCCAAGGAACATCTAATCATATCTGGGTAGCATTTACTGAAGTAATTCAACCAGACGAAAATGAAGAACATGAAAAAGATGGTGTAAAAATTATTGGAATATTCTTTTTTTCTGACAATTTTTCATTAATCTTCAAGAAGGGATAAGGATTTATTTAAAACAAATTAAATTAAGTGGTGAGCACTAGGCTGCGCTTCCTCTTGATCTTGGTATGGCTATAAAAACACATTCTCAGCAACTGCATGTTGAGGCTCATGGGAGGGGTGGTGTTCACAGTTTTCCAACAACCTCTCCCTGATAAACCAACATGCAGAACAGTGACTATGTTCAACTGGAAAATTGCTCACTGGTGTAAGAAAATGTGAAATACGTGAAGCATCAGGCAAATAAACATACAAAAGACACACAACAAACTATCAACACCATGTCTATAAGATTCTATTCCTCTATTAGTCTAGCTGGATATTTTGCTTTTCATGGTAACATGCCAGAAAGTTCTGACATGTAATTAAGCATGATATGGAAAAAGTGGCTCTGCGCACATTGTGACAAACTGACTTTAAAAAAGGAATGTTTACTAACAGATGGACCAAAGTTTGGCTTCTTCACTGTATGAATACAGATTTCATGGGGTCTTATCTCAGCAAATGCTCATCTTTTCTGTTGTGCCCTTTAAGAAGTAACCTGCTTCGTATCTGCTAGAGCTTGATGTCATCGGAGTTATGACAAGATAATCTGGTGATCTGAAAGCTCTGTGGAATGTCTCTCCCATGAAAGAGTCTTCTCTCTGTGTGTAACCCATAAGAAGGGATGGAACATGCATTTTGTTCAAGCTACGTTCTGTAGTCAGTAAACACTTTCAGATTCAAGCTGGTTCTGGTACATGTTTAAGGATTAGGGAGCAGCTGGCTTGAAACTCAGAGCTGGATGAAATTAAATTTGCTTTTAGAACTTGAAAATTAAATGCAAGCTGTGGTAAGGTAAGGACCTAAGTGATTAATTTTCTTTCAGGTATATCACATGTTATGAACATGCTCTCAGGTCATGGAACTGGTCGCTCAATGAGCAAGAAGTTATTTATTATGAGCAAATGAGTCCTAGCATTGATATGTTTCTTTTTGTTTGAATAGTACAAGAGTTCACGGATGTGCTGCTGCTGGTTGGTCCTGCAGACACTTAAGCATGTGGGTGTAATGTTCCTTTGGGGCTCAGTTCCCTTTTGCTGCTGGGCTGCTCCTACAGAGGTGTGACAGGGCACCTTGTTGCTATCAGCCATTGCTAACCATGCACAAAGCACTCTGTACATAGTACTGGCAGTGGTGTCAGCGTTCACAAATTCCCTCTTTGTAATGTGATAGGAAATTGTGTTTGGAAAGTCTGGTACCTCTGCAAAATCTTTGCTTTGCATGCAGCTCCATTTCCTACTTGTGTATTGACAATCTAAACTAATCATCAAGAAACAAATTCATTTCTTATTTTCTGCTTCC